CAGGGGATCTTAACCAAGTGTTGAGCACGTTCTCTGTATCTGATTGCAGAAGGTACGCCCATGCTTGAGGAATAGCCTCCACGAGCTGCTGATAGTTCCCAGAGAGATTATGGACCCTAGGGAGTTTCCTTCTCAGTGCTCCTTCATCAAGCCAGTCTGAAGATATTGGATCCCAGAGGTCTTTAACCTGAATAATGCCCTTCTTGATCCATGAGATACCAAAGGTAGAGTCTCCTCCTTTTGCTGAGAACGGCACCCCGTTCTGCTTTAGAATGTGAGGATTTTCAAACAGCAGTTGATTAAGGCATTCTTTTTTTGTGTTGGGCGGTCGCCATTCCATGGGCTTGATTTTATTCCATGCGAAGATAATATTCCGCCAGATTCTAGATTGAGGGCGACGTTGGGTGAACGAAGGCAACAATAGACACAGCCACATCTTAGACGGATCCTCCAGGCCCCATTCTCTGCCCAGCAAATATTCTGCCAACTTCATTCAGACTTTACTATCTTCCCCAACCATCGCTTGGGGAAGCCACTTGGACAAAAGAGCTAGGTTTTGTTGAACCGGGTCTAGCACCCCCAGACCTCCTTGGCTACGGGGTCTGGCTATTGCCTACCAAGCCACTTTGGACATGAACCCCTGCTCCTCTGATGCAGCTGGCTTCCAAAGGTATCTGGCAGCTGTTCTTTTTATCTTGTTATACGCTTCCTCTCCAAGTAAACAGATAGACATTGGAAACCAAAGAGTCGAAAAGGCTGCCGCAGACAGAACCAATGCTCGGCCAAAAAGGGAAAGTGTATATCTCCTCTCCCACTTCTCTATTCTTGCTTTTGCTTTCCCCACCAAAATGTCATCTTGTGTAGTAGAACAGTCTGCTAGCGACACTTGAACCCCCAGGAACCGTTCTGAGGATTGTGTGGGGATACGACGTAGACCCCAATCGACACACAATTCGAATTGGGGGCGGAGGAAAAAAACAGATTTATCCCAATTTATCGAGGTTTCCGATAATTCACAATACATATCA